GTGCTGCTGCCAATCTTTAAGACTTTCTCCTGAAACATTAATGTCAACTTTTCTTTGAATGTAAACAACATACGCATCTCAAACCCCTTTTGTTACTGTCCCGAAGAATACAAAGGTATTCCCCTTGTAATTGGGGAGATGTGATCTTAAATATTAACATCAATATAAGATATATGCACTAAAGCAGCATCTTAAGACGTCTTATGTCTCTAATCTCGACGTAATTATAGGGAGAAAGCGCTAAGATATACCGTGCAAGGATGTGGAGACAGGTCCTCAGATCCCTGTCGTGTCTTGTATGGTTATAATGGCTGAGTGCCTTATCCTGGTAGCTGTTGTCACTTGGACTATGGGGATCGAACCGCGGCCCTGTAAGATAAAGAGATTGGCAGTACCGATCAGTCCAAGTGGATGGCTTGAGGGGATAGGAGAAGGGGGGTGGTGGGGGGGGGTTAAGGTGCGGTTGAATAAACAGTTAGCGCTGTTAGGGCCCGTAATGGTGTGGCTGGGACCGGGCGGCAGGTGTGGAGGCGGTGTGTAGCAGGTGTGGTTGACGAAGAGCCTGGCTGCCTCTGGCGGTAAATTCAGTAATGGGTCGCATTACCACACAAGAGCGCCGCGCCGGGGCCATTTGTAGTGATCATTGTGCCTCTGGCCGCTGTTGCTTTCGCTGCTGCGCTGTCGTCTTCTTTCAGCGGACTTGTTGTACTGTTCAGCAGTAGCGGCAGTGCTCGCTTTGATGCTTCTGGAGTCTCTAGTCTGTTGTGGTTGGTGTTTCACACGTTGTATGGGGCGAGTATCACACCCTCACATGGGTAGCCGGTCGGCCGAGCGGACAGTACGCTGGAATTGTGATCCTGTGGTCCTGGGTTCGATCCCAGGCGCCGGCGAGAAACAATGGGCAGAGTTTCTTTCACCCTATGCCCCTGTTACCTAGCAGTAAAATAGGTACCTGGGTGTTAGTCAGCTGTCACGGGCTGCTTCCTGGGGGGTGGAGGCCTGGTCGAGGACCGGGCCGCGGGGACACTAAAAAAAAAAGCCCCGAAATCATCTCAAGATAACCTCAAGATAACCCTGTGTGGGGAGGAGTTTCCTGTTTTTATATCAAGTTCACAGTTTAATGGATCTGGTGAGCAGCTGTTGATTTTCAACTTCAAAGAAAGTTTCACAAATCAAGGTAGTTTGCGGTGCCGCCAAGACGAGCCTCCATGTCTTAGTACACACACACGTGCAAGAGAGGAGAGACAGAGGAGACATGATCACCACACACAAATACTCAGCGTGAAATACGACATAGAGGACCATACTCCAAAAATTATAGTACTTTAAGCATCTCTTTCCTCGAACGTACAAACATGGACTCTTGAAACCCAAAAATATATATTTTTTTGTATTAATGAATTAGCCCAAATGACATTTTTAAGAAAAATTTAAAAATAAACAGAGAACCTAACTTATCCAAGAACTCTTAGGCCTATGGTAGGCCTAATATAGCACTATAGTAGGCCTGGTATAGCACTATAGTAGGCCTGATATAGCACTATAGTAGGCCTGATATAGCACTATAGTAGGCCTGATATAGCACTATAGTAGGCCTGATATAGCACTATAGTAGGCCTGATATAGCAGCATATAGTAGGCCTAATATAGCACTATAGTAGGCCTGATATAGCACTATAGTAGGCCTGATATAGCACTATAGTAGGCCTGATAATGCACACTATAGCAGGCCTGATATAAGCACTATAGTAGGCCTGGTATAGCACTATAGTAGGCCTAATATAGCACTATAGTAGGCCTGATATAGCACTATAGTAGGCCTGATATAGCACTATAGTAGGCCTGATATAGCACTATAGCAGGCCTGATATAGCACTATAGTAGGCCTGATTAAGCACTATAGTAGGCCTGATATAGCACTATAGTAGGCCTGATATAGCACATATAGTAGGCCTGATATAGCACTATAGTAGGCCTGATATAGCACTATAGCAGGCCTGATATAGCACTATAGTAGGCCTGATATAGCACTATAGTAGGCCTGATATAGCACTATAGTAGGCCTGATATAGCACTATAGTAGGCCTGATATAGCACTATAGTAGGCCTGATATAGCACTATAGTAGGCCTGATATAGCACATATAGTAGGCCTGATATAGCACTATAGTAGGCCTGATATAGCACTATAGTAGGCCTGATATAGCACTATAGTAGGCCTGATATAGCACTATAGTAGGCCTGATATAGCACTATAGTAGGCCTGATATAGCACTATAGTAGGCCTGATATAGCACTATAGTAGACCTGATATAGCACTATAGTAGGCCTGATATAGCACATATAGTAGGCCTGATATAGCACTATAGTAGGATATAGCTAATATAGCACTATAGTAGGCCTGATATAGCACTATAGTAGGCCTGATATAGCACTATAGTAGGCCTGATATAGCACTATAGTAGGCCTGATATAGCACTATAGTAGGCCTAATATAGCACATATATATGTACTGTAATAAGAATGCTTAAGTTTGGTTTTTGGCTTAATTTTTTTAGGGGACCTGTACACTGTCGGCTCTTAACAGCCCAGTTGTGTACGTTTGACCAAATAGGTAGTTTTTTGTTTAAGTTAACGAGGCGTCGGTAATTAGGCTCAGTTAATGACCTGTATACTCACTGGTGTATGTGATCCTGTATACTCACTGTTGTAGGTGATCCTGTATACTCACTGTTGTAGGTGATCCTGTATACTCACTGTTGTATGTGATCCTGTATACTCACTGGTGTATGTGATCCTGTATACTCCCTGGTGTATGTGATCCTGTATACTCACTGTTATATGTGATCCTGTATACTCACTGGTGTATGTGATCCTGTATACTCCCTGGTGTATGTGATCCTGTATACTCCCTGGTGTAGGTGATCCTGTATACTCCCTGGTGTAGGTGATCCTGTATACTCACTGGTGTATGTGATCCTGTATACTCCCTGGTGTAGGTGATCCTGTATACTCCCTGGTGTAGGTGATCCTGTATACTCACTGGCGTATGTGATCCTGTATACTCACTGGTGTATGGGATCCTGTATACTCACTGTTGTAGGTGATCCAGTATACTCACTGTTATAGGTGATCCTGTATACTCCCTGGTGTATGTGATCCAGTATACTCACTGTTGTAGGTGATCCTGTATACTCCCTGGTGTAGGTGATCCTGTATACTCCCTGGTGTAGGTGATCCAGTATACTCCCTGGTGTAGGTGATCCAGTATACTCCCTGGTGTAGGTGATCCTGTATACTCCCTGGTGTATGTGATCCAGTATACTCCCTGGTGTAGGTGATCCAGTATACTCACTGTTGTATGTGATCCAGTATACTCCCTGTTGTAGGTGATCCTGTATACTCCCTGGTGTATGTGATCCAGTATACTCCCTGGTGTATGTGATCCAGTATACTCCCTGTTGTAGGTGATCCTGTATACTCACTGTTGTATGTGATCCAGTATACTCCCTGTTGTAGGTGATCCTGTATACTCCCTGGTGTATGTGATCCAGTATACTCCCTGTTGTAGGTGATCCTGTATACTCCCTGGTGTATGTGATCCAGTATACTCCCTGTTGTAGGTGATCCTGTATACTCCCTGGTGTATGTGATCCTGTATACTCCCTGGTGTATGTGATCCTGTATACTCCCTGGTGTATGTGATCCAGTATACTCCCTGTTGTAGGTGATCCTGTATACTCACTGTTGTATGTGATCCAGTATACTCCCTGGTGTAGGTGATCCTGTATACTCCCTGGTGTATGTGATCCAGTATACTCCCTGGTGTAGGTGATCCAGTATACTCCCTGGTGTATGTGATCCAGTATACTCCCTGTTGTAGGTGATCCTGTATACTCCCTGGTGTATGGGATCCTGTATACTCCCTGGTGTATGTGATCCTGTATACTCACTGTTGTAGGTGATCCTGTATACTCCCTGGTGTATGTGATCCAGCCCAGTCTACACTACTCGGGGATGTCAGTGACATATACCAGATTAGTTACAAAGTGAAATATATAAACTGAGAGACTGATGGGCAGGTTATATAACATATACAATTGTAATATACCTCTTCCTTTTGCCTCAGGCAGCAAGGATCCGGTGTAGCCAAACAATTCACTGCTAAACGAGACGTTCTCATTAATTGCTCTGAGTCAATTTTTGTTATATATTTAGATGTTGAGTCTCTACCAGTTCCTCATGTGATTTTCAAGGCCATCTTAAGGACAATAGAATTTGACAAAAAATATGGAGATAATACAATGGGATTGAATGTGCATCATTGAACTCCCCCAGGATGTATAGGATGGATCTGTTCGTCAATGCATAGGATGTATCTGTTACTCTGTTCATCAACGCCTAGGATGTATCTGTTCATCAACGCCTAGGATGTATCTGTTCATCAATGCCTAGGATGTATCTGTTCATCAACGCCTAGGATGTATCTGTTCATCAATGCCTAGGATGTATCTGTTCATCAACGCTTAGGATGTATCTGTTCATCAACGCCTAGGATGTATCTGTTCATCAACGCCTAGGATGTATCTGTTCATCAACGCCTAGGATGTATCTGTTCATCTCCCGCACAGGCCCGGCTTAGCTAGGGGTGCGCGGGTGTTGAAGGAACCTGAACAACCCAATACAATAAATCCTCAACTTTTGAAACTTGGACGAACACTGAACCAATATACATAACCAAACACAAGAGCCGCCGCTGGTGACGCGAGGCCGCGACAACGGTAACGTCACCGGGGGTCACACTTTACCTTCCATTCCCTCACACTATTTCTCACTAAAACACACTTGCGTCGAATGCTTATCGTAAATCACCGCTATAGATTTAGCCGTTGAAATGCATAGTAAGATACGCCACGACGCGCCTGTACTGGCAGAGGTCTTTCCCTCATCACTATACAGCCAGAGACTGAAGGTTCGTTCTCTCTCTCTCTCTCTTTCCAGGTTCTGGACATCGGGTTCAATTTGATCACGGAGGTTCCAGAAGACGGTTTCCGAGGCATCAAGTCCCTGACGTTACTGGCCCTGGACGGCAACCCTTTGACTAGCGTGCCTGGCCAGGCCTTCGCCCACCTCAACACCTCCCTCAGGGGACTGTCCGTCGGTACGTGGTCGTGAGTACTCCCAGGGACGAAAGACTCGACAAGTAGGCCGTCCGTCGAGATGGAGCTCTTCCGCTGTGGGGGAATGTGGGATATTTTAAGGCTATTTTAGGATATTTTGAAATATATTCAGAATATTTTTCAAGTATTAAAGATATATTAAGGCTATTTAAGATTGATTGAGGGTATCTAGGGTATTTTAGGATATGTTAAGAGTATTTAGGACATATTTAGGAGTTTTGAGGATAATTTATGGGTATTTAGGATAGTTTATGGGTATTTAGGATAATTTATAGGTATTTAGGATAATTTATAGGTATTTAGGATAATTTATAGGTATTTAGGATAATTTATGGATATTAAGATAGATTAAGGATAGGGTATATCTCAGTGGGAAAATATACACTCGTGGCTTCCTGACTAGTGACAAATAGTGTCATTTACCACTGTAGTTTGTAGAAGGAAATATATCAATTGTTAGTGTGTCAGGTTATAAATATGCTAATTAACTCTTGCAATGGTGGCAGGGGGCAGGTTCCTGCATTGCGACTGCAAGGTAGCGTGGATCCCAGAGTGGATCCGCGACTACGACCTGCAGGTGACGTCCCGCGAGCGCAGCCCGCAGTTCTGTGGTCAGCCACCGGAGTACCGCGAGCGGTCCTTCTACCAGCTGAGTCCGGAGGAGCTATCCTGCAGCAGCAGCAGCAGCTCCTCTGTCCTGGCCGCCGGCGGCTCCTCCACCACCCTGCCGCGCCCCACGTCCCCCAGGACCGAGTTTCCACCAGCGGCGTCTACAACGGCTCCTCCACTACCACCACCGACTTCCTCTCCAACCACAACCACAACCACAACTCAAGCGCCTTCTTCGGCGGTTCGGCTCCCGCCCCGACCAACCACTCCACCAGAACCTGAGGTAAACTGTCGTTGGCTCTCACATTGACAATTTTACCTCGGTAGTCATTAGTAGGTTTACTATCGCATTACTAATATTATTTCATAGGGAGTGGTTTACCTATACAATATCTTCCTTGTAGCTACGTGGTTTACTATTGTCTTCAGTGATCATTGTCCATTAATTTGTCTTAATCCGTATGTGAATATTATTCCTCGTTTGCAGTATTAAAATTCTAATTCAGGATTTGTCGAGTATTTACGTGTCCACTTGCGAAACCTTTACACCTTTCATCATTTATGGCGCCATAATTTGCATATTTGACACAGTTTATGAACTCCAAAGGGCTACAAGTGACCTATAACAATAATAACCTCGGGTTGTGAAGTTTCGAATCACATAAGTTGTTTAATATATATGCAAACGACTCTGCTGACCTCGTGTGACCCTTGACAGGTGACCTCGTTCCGGCCGGGCTTCGTTATCACTCCTGGAGGCTCTGAGCAGCGAGAGGGGGAGTCGAACGGTGTGGGGAGCGTCGGGTCCGTCCAGAGGGGCCCTGGAGGCGAGGGCCCGACCAGGGGCCACAGCCACCCCACGATGGATTTACCGCCAACGAGGTTCGAGCAGGGTTCGTCGAGGATAGAGCGGCCAGTGGCCCAGCCAGTGCCTTCCAGGCCCAGCTTGATCCTCAGGACCAGCGAGCCTTCGTCCCAGGATAACTTCTTCGGGTCCCAGTCCCGCGGGCCTTATGTGGAGGAGGTGCGTGCTAATGCGGGTGTAAATGGGTGTTGTGAAGCTAAATAACATATGGTTGTACTGTTATAAACCAAGAAATTATATTGTACAAGACACTGAGTTTGACCAAACCACGCACTAGAAAGTGAAGAGACGACGATGTTTCGGCCCGTCCTGGACCATTCTCAAGTCCACATTCGACTTCATAATGGTCCAGGACGGACCGAAACGTCGTCGTCTCTTCACTTTCTAGTGTGTGGTCTGGTCAACATTTTTCAGCCACGTTATTGTGACTCCTCGTCTGCACACTGAGTTTGTTTAACATTTTAAGTTCATATTTCCATCAAAATGAGCCTAGAATAATCTGTTTCAGAGACCAGTCATTCCAGCGCCTGAAGTACGGGGCCAATTTTAATGAAAATTAGTGTTAAACATAACATTGGTAGCAGATGATTATTTTATGATCACGTAGCAAGCAAAGGCGAAGTGCAGCTTACTAAAGCACTAAATTACCCCCCCCCCCCCTATGAAATTCCAAGTGATTATTTGATACTACTCAAACAGGCCTTTTAAGATATTTAAAAAAAAACTTCCTAGGTAAAATTCAGACTAGGACTATTAAAAAAAGACTCAATCCAGCTGCTTAACAAATATTAAGAATTGTGCTTATCTAGCTCAGTTTGTACGATTAGAAATTGGTATTTGGAGCATAATTCGATATACTAGACGACCTTCACCAGGTGCCTATCTTCCTTAACTGCTCTGAAGGAAATTATTCAAGTGTCAAGTGGGGGGGTTGACCACTTAGTGTTAGTTACAGGACTCGTTCACTGCTAGAGCTGCCACACTAACCTCATACTATGTTGACACACTACCCCCGAGTGCTGTGTTGTCACACCCATGACCCCTGCTGCCCTCCCCTCACCCATGACCCCTGCTGACCTCCCCTCACCCATGACCCCTGCTGACCTTCCTCACCCATGACCCCCACTGCCTGGGAACACCACTGACACAGGGATCCTCTCCAACAGGTTATCGTGCAGGACGCCTACAGGAAGGACAACTCCGTTATCATCCAGTGGGACTCCGAGGTCTCCAACATCCTGGGCTTCAGGGTCGTGTACAGGCTCTTCGGGGACAAGAACTTCAAGGTGAACCGCCAGCCCCCCGAGAGAGGGAGGGAAGGAAAGGGGGTTAAATAATAGACAGTGTGAAGAGAGAGTAGATAGAATAGAAAATAGTCAGGGTGGAAAATGAAGAAAAGAAGTAGACAGTGAAGCAAGGGGGATATAAAGTAAACTAATTAACAGCCCTTTTTTGTAATAATCATATAATAATAATAATGATAATGCTCAATACTAAATTATCATAAAGAACAATTTCAATAATGAGTGATAATGATTGTTGGACGTGGAGCCACAGCTGCCAATACACATGTGAAGCGAAACAATCAGATATAGAGAGAAACCCTTATTATAGCATGTTATCATAGACTATTAATGTAGCCTAGTATTGTAGCCTGGTGTTGTCATCACGGTCAGACTAGAACATCGTCTAAGATGCTCTCTACCCTCCCACAGCTTGGACCGCCCCTGGCAGCGTCGGAACGAGAGTTCAAGATCAAGAACGTACCGACACAGGAGTGCATTGTGGTGTGTGTGGTCTCCCTCGAAGACGTCAATGTCACCCCTGATAAGTGAGTCTCCGGCGCCGTAGGAAATGTTTTGTGTAATAGAGGGTCCTTGTGATAACTTGAGGACGCTGAAGCTATCACTGTGTGTCCTGGACATCATCAACATTTCTGTATGATCATAACCCTAAGATTCCCTTCCTATCCAGTGTAGTCTAGCAATATATATATTTTATTATCATTACATGCGATATCTTTTGAAAGCGTCCTCGTATTGATTCGAGATTTAAAATACTAATGTGTGATCATTAAAGAAACTTTCATTGTGTGATTGGGCAGTTTTGTCAAGTTCACCTCTTGTCTGAAGTTCCAAACTTTCCATAGTTTTGAGAGACATGTTTATTTCTTGTCATATTTAGAAGCATTCAACACCTATATATATATATATATGGCCATATACATGTGCTTCTTATTGAGCTTGGTTCCCATGTAAAGCTTTCACACTAACTCTCCAACTGCCTACCACCACCACTGCCTTCCTCCAACCTTTCACCACTAATTCCAATCCCCTCCACCTTCCATCCACACCAACTACCCGAACCTAAAATGTAAATTCCACCTGCACCCACATCCTTTCAAACTTCACACTCAAATCCCCACAAAAACCTCACCTACACCATCCCAAAAACCACCCTATAAACATTGACATACACAGGTAATTGTATTTTTATGAATAATTCATATAGTACCACTCACTTTTGCCCACTCACCCCACCATCATAGTTCCATCAGTCACTTTCAATACCTCCACATTCACTTTGACCACTCTGCTACATTGACAACCTCTATACCTTCAACACTCTCCCCCACTCCCCACACCACTCCTAAATACACTCACCTCCCCCATGCACCCACACTCATGAGCCCAGCATGCCCCCCCACAATCGCCCCCATAACCCCATACTCACCTCCTGACTTGCCCACAGCGTGCAGTACTCCCAATGCCGAGAGATCCGGACGGAGACCTCTGCCACTATGCACATGGACACCATCATCATCGCAGCCTCGGCAGCCATCTGTGGCACTGTCATCATCGCTGTCATTGTCTTCATCTGCTGCAACAGGAAGCGCGGTGGTCACCGGGAGAAGGAGGGCATCCCTGCTGTCCTGAACCCCGTCTCCCCACCCCTGGCATCCCTTGGCACTCTGGGATCTGGCACTCTAGCGGGAGCCAGCGGCCCAGGCAGTACTAAAGCAGATTGGGACACATTATCTATGTACTCCCAGCGGTCCATCCCCAGGGCCAGGATGTATCACTTAGATAAAGGTAACACAGCCATTGAAACACAAAGATAAAGGTAAAGCAACCCTTGAGACACAAGGATGAAGGTAAGGTAGCCCTTGATACACAAAGATGAAGGTAAGGCAGCCCTTGAGACACAAGGATAAAGGTAAGGCAGCCCTCGAGACACAAGGATAAAGGTAAGGTAGCCCTTGAGACACAAGGATAAAGGTAAGGCAGCCCTCGAGACACAAGGATAAAGGTAAGGTAGCCCTTGAGACACAAGGATAAAGGTAAGGCAGCCCTTGAGACTAAAGACGAGTCAACTCTTAAAGTACATGAATAAAGATGAGTCAACCTCAAGGATAAAGATACTCTTCAAGACACTTAGCATGCAAATGGGCTGTATATTCAACCCCTAAAGAGGTCGCTAAACAAAACCTGATTCAGTTTTTGCACATCGACACCTTTTATCATTTATAAGTTAATAGGATTAAGTCAGTATATGTTGATTTATTATGATATTGTTATGTATAGTACAGGTGTCAAGTACAGTGCATAATTTTAAAACAGGCAATAAGAGAGTAGTTGATTTTAGGGGGGCAGAGAGTGTATCTCTGTTTCACCCTCTCTTTACCACCACAGCCTCACTTGATCACTAAGATGACCACTCCTCCCACAGGTTCGGTAAACAACGGCTTTGTGCCTGATGATGCTAGATCGCATATCTCCCATGCCTCCTCCAAGCACCTGCCTCGCCCCCGCTCCATGGCTGATGGCCAGAGTCAGAGATCTTACTCAGCCCTCAGCGCTGCTCATCTCAGACACCCTCCTCCAGTAATGGGTCTCTCCAGACAAGGTCTGTGGGAGAGCTGTAAACTTTGATGGTGGGGGTAAGGTCATGGGAAATCATAGCAGCTCCTTAAAAGTGCAGTTCTTTCAGATCAGTAGGGCAATTCCTCCTCGTCCGCTGCCTTTCTTTTCCCTTCTTACAACATGGTCGTCTTGGGGACAACTGCATCACTTATAACAACTGACAGTTTCATTTGTATCTGTAGTTACATCAGGGCAATCCATATTTGTCCATTCCTTGAGTTCATTCATTTTGGTTGTAATTCCATCAATATTGGTGAACATAGCTTTAAAAGCACATTTCTTTCTTTGCATTCTCACTTTCAAGCTCTGTAATCATCTGCCCCCTTGACTTGGATGACTTCTAAGTCATCCAAGACTTATGTGGTGAGAAGGATTGATGGGGTTTAAAAGGAAATTGGAGGGAGGGGAGAATGAGTATAATTATTACTGCTTGGGGAATTTTAGGGTGAGTTTGGCAGACAGAGAGAGAGAGGGTAGGGAGAGTGGGGTGAATGAATGAATATTGGGTATGAGAAGTTAGGTTAGCTTAGGCAGGGTTTATGCTGCTGCTGTGGTTGACTCTGGGGTTATCAGGCAGGGAGCTTCCCTTTCCTCTTCCCTGTGCCCCCGTCTCTTTTCTGCAGCTGTATCTCTTACCATCTTCCCTTGTCATATTCCTCTGGATAAATACCTCTTAGTATTCTTAATATGCAAGAGTCTGATATTGAACTTATGCCATTTCCAGCTTGCAGTTTACCTAAAGCAGCATGTTTGTATCTATTTGCCTAGATACATTAAATTTATATGTAAATGAATCACGATACTAGTGATAAAATATTTCATGTTCCTAGGAGTCGGCTTTTTCTGTCCATTGAAAACAGAATTTACAAAGTTGGTAAGAACCAAATTCCTATAATATAATTGATCATGTTGCAGTGAATGAAAACTATTAGATTGCAAGCCTATCACTTCTCTTTGATCCTACGACACCTTTGGGCTTTTTACTATGGAAAATAGGTTTAGTTTGGTGATTATCATGACATTTTGCAGTAACTGTCATATCACTTTCAGATGGTCATATGGTTTGTTAATAACAGTCATATAATATTATGGCTGTCATTCAACATAATTTATGGATGTCATGTAACATACATAACTGTCATGGATGGATGTCATGTTACTCCCTTACTTTCCATGACAGCCCTGACTTTACTTTCTAACTTTGTCCATTCTTACGCCTGACTAATGACCTTGTATTTCACAGCCTTAATGTTATATGGTCCGTTGTGATGAATGCCATATGATATACCCTGTTGGCTGTCCTATGAGTATCATGACAACTCTTAAACTGTTAAATCATGCTCTATTATTTTAAACAGCAAAATTTAGGGTTTCTCAAAAACTGTATTATACTTCTCAGCATGAATATTGTACTATATATATAATGTGTAAACAAAGTTTTCATCGTGAAAAATTGGATGCATATAGGGTAATATAAGTCTGATAATTAATGTATTTATGCACAAATTATTCTGCTTTGCCAATACAGTAATTTGATTTTCAAATTTAAATATTAAAATTGTTGCATTTTCTGTATATATTACTCCTGTCTGTGCCTAACAGGTTGGCTGTGTCGGTCTGTGGCTAGTACAGTGTCTTCTTTGGCTCTCTGGACTGTGTACATTATAGCTGCCTTTCAATACTCCGGATAGCTTCTACCTTCAGTGTTTTGCTATTCCTCATGATTCCTGAATAAATATATATATATATATATATATATATATATATATATATATATATATATATATATATATATATATATATATATATATATATATATATATATATATATATATATATATATATATATATATATATATATATATATATATATATATCTGTATATATACCTGTATATTTATATTTATTTACTGTCTTGCATTGCATCTGCATATACTTTATGTTTCTGTTCTTCAGAAAGTAATGGGTGCTCTTGTTCTTAAGTAACTAAGCTGTATTCTCTGAATGGTTGTGATATTTTCTTTATGCCCGAAACGCTTTGCGTAATAGTGGCTTTAGGCATTGTATGTACTAGCTCTACCTATAAGTCAAACAATCCTTGTAAATATTTATTGTATGTATGTACCTTACCTAAATAAAATTGTATTGTATTGTATTGTAATGAGCTGGAGAAAATATTTCCTTTTTATGCTTTGTGCCTGCTGTATATCATGTAGAGTGAGTGAGTGAGTGAATGAGTGTGTGTGTGTGTGTGTGTGTGTGTGTGTGTGTGTGTGTGTGTGTGTGTGTGTGTGTGTGTGCGTGTGCGTGTGCGTGTGTGTGTGCCTGCCTGGGATGGCACACAGTCTACATTGCTAATGTTAATGCCCAATTATATGTTTGCCTCCCTAAACCCCCCATTTAGTGGGCTCATCTCCCATCCTCTCGTGTGTGTGTGTATAATGTTTACATCCACTCCCTTCCTCTCTCTACATACAGAAGAATGTGTAGAACCTCTTTGTTGTGATAGATTTTTCCTGGCCCTCCTTATTGTCACACTCATCTAAGTGCGTTGCCTCACTTCTCAGGAATAGTCATATCATTTCCCAAGTCTTATCATGCATCTTATGCCTTAATGGTTTCCCATTTCTCACCAATCTCTCTACCATTTTCTGTGAAAGAATTAAAGGTTTTTGTACTGAAATTTTGTAAGAATATAAAAATAAATGAACAGCAGAAGGCCTATTAGCCCATACGATCCCACTCATATTTACTATATCCACCTAAACTCTCTCTATATGACTAATCTACATTTTAAACAATCCAGAGATCCCTCATGTATTATATTACTCCTATTTCCCTACCATACGCTACCCTCAAGTTGTGCTCCTCCAAAATGTAGTAGCAGATTCCTGGATTGCTAACATGGACCCCTGTTCTATCTTAGTTGCTAATCCTTCCAGTCAGTGCCCCTCTATACTCTTGTAAAGCCTTCAATCTGTGTATGGTCTGTCTTTTGACTGGTTCACTTTCTCTGACGATTCCTGTTTTTGTGGTAATTGCTTATGTCATAATGATCACGGATGTTATGTATTGAGGAGACCTAATGTACTGCAGAGATCTAATATATTCCAGAGATCTGATGTATTTCAGAGATCAAATGTATAGCATTGACCTAATGTATTGCGAAGATCTAATGTATTGCAGAGACCATAAATATCAGAGACCTAATGTATCAGCTATCATGTTGTGCTACAAGACGTTATTGTGGCAGTGCACTCAGCGAACAGTCAATCAAATACCTCAAAATGTCTGTACGATTGCAGCGTTGCATTTAGAGTTTTGTGTAGGCCGTGCCCGGAATTCAGCTCCTGCCGAGTATGCGTTATCTGCAAAGTATATTCAGTTTTTATGCAGAAAACTAATCTAGAGCATTTTCCTTTTATTTTCACTGTATTGAACCTGTACAAGCAAAGTCGGTTAAGAAAACGGTCAGTTTTAGTCATGAATCGAAATAGTAGCAGTATTAATTGCTGGTAGTAGTAGTTGCTGGTGGTAGCAGTAGTAGTTGCTGGTGGTAGTGAAGGTAGTTTCTGGTAGTAGTTACGATGACGGCTTCTCGTATCCTTGTAGGCTCAACGGCAAGCCTGTGGAAGGAGGCTCTCTTAAGAAACGACATCTACCTTCGTCAGCAGGGGCTGGTGAAGCTCTGACGGTTACCCGAGGTGCCCTAGTCAGCCTCAGGTATGTCGAAGGCCCTCAGATGAGCGACTCATATATACACCTCCCTATTCTCACACTTGCACACCCCGTCCCCATATCTGCCACTGTCCTACAGAAAAACAAAAATATATGCTTAAGCTTATACCTCACATCTTTAGACTTGCACATAACAGCCTTGATCATCCATGACAGCTCCTGATCGTCTATGGCACTCCCCTGACTTTTCATGAAAGACCCTGACTTTACTTTCTAACTTTGACCATTCCTATGCCTGACTAATGGCCTTGCATTTCACAACGTTAATCTCATTATTATATTAACATCTCAGTTGGCACTCTGAGTTTCCAACAATCGTGAAAATAACACTCCAGCGTTAACCTTCCAAGCAAACTTTAAATATTCGATCATTGCCAGAACCCAGAACTTAAAAGTCATAGCTCTAACCTTGAACTTTGAGCTCAAGCTTTGATTCTACATTACATAACTTATTAATATCTCCTCCCTGGTCTTGCACTCTTAGTCTTGAACTTTGATGACAATCAGACTTGAGCTTTTACCTCAAGCCCAGAGGGAAGCTTGTGCAGGGTTCCCTAGTAACACAACCAGAGTGCTACACTGCTCGAGGCCTCATGTTTGTGGTATGGTCGCTAACATAGGTAGCCAGAAAGTGTTGTGGACCAGGAACGGCATCGCCACAAGCTGTATATTGCTTACCATGATCAATATTTTCATAAACCATCGCTTCCTCTAGAATGGCTGCAGCTTGCTTCTTGCATGTTTGGACCTGGCTTCAGCTTTCTTATGTTTGGATATAAACTTATTGTTGTTGTTTTTTTGCAAATCTCTGTGCATTTCTCATCTTATGTAATGAAGATATTGTTTCTTGTGAATAATGTTATGTTTTTCCACAGATCTCAACATGTCAAGGCAGTCGTTAGTAGCCTCACAATTCTCCGCCGGGGGGTTCGGGCCGATGGCTGTAAATCCCAATGCGTTTGGGATGGGAGGTCCAGGGTCCACAATGGGGGGACTCTCAAGGGCAACGTCTCAGCGCAGTGACCGGCGGCGCCAACGCTCTAAATCACGAGAGCGTGCAGGGTCCCGCCTCAGCCATGCTGGATCTAACCACTCTCTCACCGGCTATGACACTGACGGCTGGACCGACCATGATATGGACATTTACGTTGCCAGGAACCCAACTCGTGGCGGTCTTGTCCAACTGTAGAACTCTGATGTTTGATATCGACTTGAAATATCTTCCTATGAGAAATCACACTGCAGCTCTGGGAGTGCCACAGAGCCACTGCCTCAGGACCAGGAGCTCCCTACCAACAGAGCATCCTAGCCAGAAATCTATGGCAGGGGTCATTTGTTGACCAACATAAGAGATCAGACCAGAGCTACCATGTCCACGAAATTTTCACGTTTGCTTCTTTCACAGAGAAAGACAGCATACTAGTGGGGTTAACCTCCTAGGCAGGAGGCGAGCATGAGATTTTATAAGAATTTTATTGCAATAAATTACTTCCTAGTCGTTCTGTGGAGGAGTTACAGAATTGACCAGATTCAATTGTTGTATAAAAAGTGAATTCATAGAGCTTGCATATAAAAACTAAATACAGAACAGACTTAAGAATTCACCAACCTGTTACATTACAAGTGAAGTGAACTTTAAAGCAGACAATATGTGATATTAATATTGCTCATCTCTAAGTGTCGTCTCATGAGCATCGAGTGGGGTCTTTATCTAGTTATGGCAGATACCCGTTCTTGTGATGCCGCCAACATAACAGTGCCTGCGCAGCAACTTTAAGGTACAGAAAGCTTGGCTTCCTCATGGTGCGAGTAAAATACCTGGCCAAGGTCAAAACTTTCATGGTCTGTTCTAGAACTCCAGAGTTGCTGTGTGCTCTGGTGGTTGTTGTGCTTCAAGGTGTCATAGCAGTGATGGGGTGGTGGAGGGCCAGGGAATGTTGGCTGTTCGTGTTTTCCAAATTATTGCTACAGTTTGGCTGTACTTGACTGACTGCAATGAATAAGGGACTTCAGTAATTTGTTTTTCAACTGATTTTTCTGCCTGTTTGGAAGCTTCATAGTTTCCAAAGGATTTCATTCTTGTACATCTGATTTACTCATCACACTATAATTTTTTGTGATGCAGAATGTATACAGAGTCTTAGCTGCTGTGGGCGGTAGTTTAATCCAAAACGTGATGAGACAGGAATAGCTTTTAAAAATGTTTGTATAAATATTTTTGTACATGTGAATTAATTATTTGTATGAATGCGAGAGCGTTGTAAATTTTCAACTGGAATCTGTTATTATATTTTGGTTATAAGCTTGCACTGAGGAGATAAATGTGAGGAGAAATGTTTGGTTGTTGAGACAAAATGTTGAGATATTGCCACCCTCGTATGCATTGATGCAGCATCACCTGCAATATTTTGCGGCAAATTCCATAAAGCTTGTGTACAGTGTCTCGTGCATGGGTCATCTTGAGTGTTGGTGTTCCATATGAGTTATGGTTCTGTGTGTGTTTTGCCGCACTATATGTGTCGCACCACTCATGCTGTGGCTTCATGTGTGTGTGTTGTGGCAGACCTGTAGATTATTGGACCATGGATTATGCTGCATGATGCTCCAATGCCATATGTACAATGTCATCATCAGACATTACACATTCCTCGGCATTAAATGTTATATTTCCTGTGTATCTCTCTTTGGCTCCATATGTGTTACTGTATCACTAGCACTGGGGGACACGTCTCCACATGTGCTACTGTATCACTAGCACTGGTGGACTCGTCTCCACATGTGTTACTGTATCACTAGCACTGGTGGACTCGTCTCCACATGTGTTACTGTATCACAAGCACTGGTGGACACGTCTCCACATGTGCTACTGTATCACTAGCACTGGTGGACTCGTCTCCACATGTGTTACTGTATCACTAGCACTGGTGGACACGTCTCCACATGTGTTACTGCATCACTAGCACTGGTGGACACGTCTCCACATGTGTTACTGCATCACTAGCACTGGTGGACACGTCTCCACATGTGTTACTGTATCACTAGCACTGGTGGACACGTCTCCACATGTGCTACTGTATCACTAGCACTGGTGGACACGTCTCCACATGTGTTACTGTATCACTAGCACTGGTGGACACGTCTCCACATGTGCTACTGTATCACTAGCACTGGGGGACACGTCTCCACATGTGCTACTGTATCACTAGCACTGGTGGACACGTCTCCACATGTGCTACTGTATCACTAGCACTGGTGGACACGTCTCCACATGTGCTACTGTATCACTAGCACTGGGGGACACGTCTCCACATGTGCTACTGTATCACTAGCACTGGTGGACACGTCTCCACATGTGCTACTGTATCACTAGCACTGGTGGACACGTCTCCACATGTGTTACTGTATCACTAGCACTGGGGGACATGTCTCCACATGTGCTACTGTATCACTAGCACTGGGGGACACGTCTCCACATGTGCTACTGTATCACTAGCACTGGTGGACATGTCTCCACATGTGCTACTGTATCACTAGCACTGGGGGACACGTCTCCACATGTGCTACTGTATCACTAGCACTGGGGGACACTGTTGAGATCAGGTTTTCATTGTGAACTTTTCAGTCCTACATATGTGGTCAACAATACAACACTATTTTCTCTGCTGCTTGCTCAGTCTCCTCATCCCAGCGAGTCATTAGGAAAGTCTAGTGTACAAATAGTGCATAACTACAGGAAATTTAATTTGATTCAGATATGGTTGAATGTAAAGATATTCATATTATTGATATTCTTCATTAATATTGCTACTTTATGTATTATTTTAGGAAGCAAGATTTTTTTTTTATATAAATATATAGAAAATATTGACAATACAAAAATATGGGTTAATGACTATATTATCCAATGTTAATTATGTTAAGACTGCAGTGCAATGGGAGCTAAATACTGTATTATGTATTACAACAAATATGGATTGTTGATCAAAAAAGAAAAAAATTGCAAACATGTTAGAATATATTATAATTGCATAGATTTTGTTAACATTTTCTAAACTGTGTTAAAATGGAAGACTGCAGGACATTTTTTTTTTTTTTTTTTTTTTGAAATGACAACAATAATGTAGATCAGTAGAAGAAAGGCCTAGTATTTGGGCATGTGGGTGTTTAGGTAAAGCAGTGAGTCGTGTCCAAGTAAGGGGGGGAAATGTGTGTTACAACCCTCGGTAGCATTATTAACAAGACTGGTGAGATGCCATACAATTGCCAGGGATAGCTTGACATTTATAAATTATTTGTTTATTTTTGTGCTTAAGATTTGTTTCCATTTTGGAATAAAATCTTTAATATTTTCTGTTTATTTCTGCAATGCCTTTTTGCCTCTGTGTATGTGTATTGTGCTTCTGGTCCTGTGTGTTGGCAGAAGTTTCCTGGTAGTATTTGTGGACATTTCACAAGTCATGTTAAGCTTGACTGTCAGTGTGAATGTCCTCTTAGAAATATTTCTGTCAGTTAGGAGACATGGGCTGCTTATTGATTGTAAAGCAGTTAGGCTAATGAAGTGGTGTACTTGGGGAGTGTTAGTCAGTTTTGTGTGATGAAGCGGCTTTCTTGCAAGGTCTACAAGCCATTGCCTAACTTGGCAAAACGTCAATGCTCATTATTCCTACTGTATTCTCCCAAAATTGTGTTTTCTTTAAATTTGCATTAATAGTCAGTACATAAATATGTCATAGGTGTCAAAGCTGTTGCTTATACATTTAATATTTTGCCAAATGGACAAATATTGCAATAAATAATGGACAGATGTTGCTGACAGTGTTTGTATATTCATTGTTAAAAGCATTTATGCGAGTCATCTGGTGACTTTGAATTTCAATTTCTAACATTAATAAACATCAGTGTTACTGTGTACCAATGATAGGTTGATTTAGTTCAAGTATGTTTATTGAGACAAGAAAATACATCTCAAAGGGATAGAGTAGCTTTGGCTATTTCTACCCTCACCGGTTGACTTAGTACAGTATGTTGGATTCTCTTAGAGTGTGTGAAGGTCATTTACAGAGGGTGAGGCTCCATGTACAGGGTTACATCCCTTTATAACATGCCAAATTATCTTAAAGGAGTTCAGACCTTTGTGGAGGATCAGGATAGCTTGAAGGTTAAATTCTCAGTGGGTAAATTATGAAATAATGTAGGTACATTTTTGTGGCAATGAATGACATTTTGTATTTTTATATAATATATATATATGGGTCCTGAAGCTGACAAACAGTTGGGCATGTTTCCTTTCACCTGATGCCTTTGTCTTCCCTGGCTCTACTCTCCCAGGCAAAGTTGGGCAAAGAATGTTCATATAACGATGAATAAATGATAACATTGATCCTCAGTTGATTAAAAATTACTCAGGCTTATTTTGCCTGCTGGATCTGCTAGCAGTAAAATAGGTTTCCTGGGAGATAAGCAGTTGTGGGTTGCATGCTGGCTGTAATGGGTAGGTGAAATAGGGAGAGGGAAGGAGGAGCGAGTGATGGGAGGAGAGTCAAGTTGTTTAAGGAATATGGACATGGAAGAAATTTACCCGCAGGCCACCATCTCCAGTGACCTCAATGTGTACAGGAAGCCAGCAGCTTATCAAAGGTGCTTGTCCCCTACCCCCTATTATTCCTGAGGATTTTTACCAGTTGAAATTTAAACTAAAGGACTGTATTGTCTTAGTATTTACGACTAGCGGTAAGGCAATTCCGTGGGTTTATTACGTATAGGTGAAGAATGATCTCCAGTTAGGTCATGAGAAGAGGAAACTGCCCAGATGTACTACTGACCTTAATCAGCGACTGATTTGTTTTGTTTGACCAGCAACTATTGCAACATTTAGGCTACTAGTTTGTGATGCTCAGGCTCACCAACTGTTTGTATTCCAGTCAGACTCTTTGTAATATAAAACAATAAAACACTTGTTAATTAAGTTTTATTAATCTCCTTCACATTGTTTTGGGTCTCTTAGTACAGTTACCTTTATTCTGGACTCGCAATCAGGGACTGGGTTGAATTCCTGGGTGGAACAGAAATGGTTGGCCACATTGGGTAGTATAAAAATGTGGTGTACAAATGCAGACGGCATTACATTTAGAGTCCTGGTCACGATAGGGTCAGGTGAACGAGTTCTTCCTGGTCGTACAGTCCGGTTAAAAAATAAAATAAAATAAAATGTTTATTCAGGTAAGGTACATACATACAAGAGATTTTACATAAATTGATAGATTTATAGATAGAGCTAGTACATACAACGGTTCGTTTGACTCACAGTCAAGAATTCCGGGATCGAATCCCAGGCTGGACAGAAATGGTTGGGCGCATTTCCTATCACCTAATGCCCCGGTCCACCTTGAAGTAAGTAGGTACCCAGGAGTTAGTCAGAATGTTGTGGGGCTGCACCTGGGGAGGGTCAGAAATTCGATCCTGGGGCGGGGGGGGGGGGGGAAGGAACCTCGATATAAGCCTAACATGTACTCTATGTATAAAATGGCTGCCTGTCCCCCGACACAATGTATTATGAATTATAACGGGTTAGAGCTGCTGGGTCCCGGCAGTGACATGTGGTAGAACAACATCCTCATATTATTGCAGTTACAGAGATAAAACTGACGAACTTCATACAGGATGTAATACTCCCAAGTGGCCAAGAGGACACCAGATAATAAGACAAGCATCCTTAACTGTAGCCTCTGTTTACCCAACAGTAAACTGGGTACCTGCTTGTTAAACAATGAATTTAATAGCTTCTTTTTATTAATTTATTTATTTATATATATATATATACAAAAAGGTACATTGGGTTTGTGAGAGTACATAGCATGATGTGTTTACATTCTTGTAAAGCCTCTAGTACGCGCAGCGTTTTGGGCAGGTCCTTAATCTAACAGATAATATTAAGTAGGTAAATTCTAGCAAAATTTATAAAATGTTATCAGGTACATTGTAAGAAAATTTGAGAGAGATTAGTAGGTATATTCACCTATGCCTCTCCTTCCTCTTTACTATAAAAAAAAAAAAAAAGGCAAATAGGACACCTGGTGTTATTCTTCAGCTGTATCTTGCTCTGGTTAGACCCCATTTAGATTATACAGTTCATTAACATTACACTGGTCTGCAATTTATTAACAAAAAAAAAAAAAAAAAAAAAAAAAATGGCCAGGAGGCTTGGAATAATGAGTTTTTTTTTTATTAGCAAAATTAGGTATACACAGCAATGTGCTGCTACTCTATTCTGTATGAGATATTATACAGTGTATATCAAGAACTAGCTATTGGTTCAACTATTATTCCTATCTCACAGGATGGTTAGTCATACGTGGAATTAGGGGAGATAATACTTGCTTTAATACAAAAACAAATAAACTCACATATAGACTAAAAATCAGGCGAGAACATAAAATGTAAGACTGATTAGCCTCCAGGAGCAAAATCTGAGGTACAGCACAAGAATATCTTCCAATATTCCTGAGTGTATGAAGTAATTACAGAGCTCAAAGTACCTCATATCATTTGGTCTGAAGTTACTTATAACAGGACAATCACAGATATAGTGTTGGAGAGTATGTCCCAGCTCTTGTTCACATAGTAGTTTACAATTGGAATGTTCACCATTGGGGGATTCATTACCTGCAGCCACCGGCCATAGATATCGATATTCCAGCCTACACAATATATCCCAGCCATCACAATATATCCCAGCCTACACAATATATCCCAGCCATCACAATATCACACTGTCTAGTGGATGTTTTGTGCTGCCAGTAATGAAATATTAAGGGAATAATGGGCTAAATCTCACTCCTATCTCAATAAATCTCTATCTTCTAATCTCAATCCCCTATCTCCTAAATCTCAATAATAAGGGAATAATGAGCTGAATCTCACAAACAAAAAGGAGACCTGGTCGAGGACCGGGCCGCGGGGACACTAAGCCCCGAAATCATGTCACGATAACCCCCCCCCCCCCATAGTCACCGATAGATAAGGACGTTTAGCGACACAACAACTGCCACAGTGGCCAAACAGTTGTCACAGCGGCACCAAAATGTTTATTAATCTTTCCCAGATCCCTCCCTCTTTTATGCGAATATGAAATATTTGGATAGTTACCCCTCTCAAAAATTTCTTTACTACAAAGTTTGCAGTCAAAGAAAACTACTGGATACAACTATTTAGCAGTAACTTTGGTAATTACAAACTCTGGGGCCTGTGTCATTAAGTCTAATGTACTCACCTAGTTGTACTTGCAGGGGTTGAGCTTTGGCTATTTGTTCCTGCCTTTCAACTGTCAATCAACTGGTGTACAGATTCTTGAGCCTATTGGGCTCTATCATATCTACATTTGAAACTGTATATGGAGTCAGCCTCCACCACATCACTGCCTAATGCCTTCCACTTGTTAACTGCTCTGACACTGAAAAAAAATATTTTTAATGCCTCTGTGGCTTATTTGGGTACCAAGTTTCTACCTGTGTCCCCTTGTTCGTGTTCCACGCGTGCTAAAGAGTTTGTCTTTGTCTACTCTGTAAATTCCCCTGAGATTTTTGTAGGTGGTTATCATGTCTCCCCTTACTCTTCTGTCTTCCAGGGACGTGAGGTTTAGCTCCCGTAGCCTTTCCTCGTAGCTCATACCTCTCGGTTCTGGGACTATTCTGGTGGCATACCTCTGAATTTTCTCTTTGTCTTGTGTTTAACAAGGTATGAACTCCTGGCTGGAGCTGCAGTGTTGGGAAGTCTGGATCTAGGTATCCTTCACCAAGTTCCAAGTTGGAGAGATTGATTATATAAGCCGCCGTTATAAGTCTAGTGACTTTGGCTAACACGGAAACTCTCCAAGACAAGAGACGAAGACTTTAACTGGTCTGTTATGAACGTTCCGGTCTGGGTTACGGACGAGTCTTTACCGCACAGCAAGCAGCACAAGGTCAAATGTGAACGATTGTGTTCCTGACTTTCGTAACAGGACCAGAGGTCCCCGCCCCCCCCGGGGGACCTCTGGCCCGCCCCCGGGGGACCTCTGGCCCGCCCCCGGGGGACCTCTGGCCCGCCCCCGGGGGACCTCTGGCCCGCCCCCCGGGGACCTCTGGCCCGCCCCCGGGGGACCTCTGGCCCGCCCCCCGGGGGACCTCTGGCCCGCCCCCGGGGGACCTCTGGCCCGCCCCCCGGGGGACCTCTGGCCCGCCCCCCGGGGGAGCTCTGGCCCGCCCCCCCGGGGGACCTCTGGCCCGCCCCCCCGGGGGACCTCTGGCCCGCCCCCGGGGGACCTCTGGCCCGCCCCCCGGGGGACCTCTGGCCCGCCCCCCGGGGGACCTCTGGCCCGCCCCCCGGGGGACCTCTGGCCCGCCCCCGGGGACCTCTGGCCCGCCCCCCGGGGGACCTCTGGCCCGCCCCCCGGGGGACCTCTGGCCCGCCCCCCGGGGGACCTCTGGCCCGCCCCCCGGGGGACCTCTGGCCCGCCCCCCGGGGGACCTCTGGCCCGCTCCCCGGGGGACCTCTGGCCCGCCCCCCGGGGGACCTCTGGCCCGCCCCCCGGGGGGAGGTCAATACTCTAATGGTAAAACATTAATTTTTCGATAGAAATAAAACAGCAATAGGGGAATGTGTGTGTTTTCTTTGTCTTCTTATCCCACCTCCTTGTCCCCATATCCCAGCTCCATCTCCTCATATCCCAGCTCCATCTCCTCATATCCCAGCTCCATCTCCTCATATCCCAGCTCCATCTCCTCATATCCCAGCTCCATCTCCTCATATCCCAGCTCCATCTCCTCATATCCCAGCTCCATCTCCTCATATCCCAGCTCCCTCTCCTCATATCCCAGCTCCATCTCCTCATATCCCAGCTCCATCTCCTCATATCCCAGCTCCATCTCCTCATATCCCAGCTCCCTCTCCTCATAACCCAGCTCCCTCTCCTCATATCCCAGCTCCCTCTCCTCATATCCCAGCTCCCTCTCCTCATATCCCAGCTCCATCTCATATCCCAGCTCCATCTCCTCATATCCCAGCTCCATCTCCTCATATCCCAGCTCCCTCTCCTCATATCCCAGCTCCATCTCCTCATATCCCAGCTCCCTCTCCTCATATCCCAGCTCCATCTCCTCATATCCCAGCTCCATCTCCTCATATCCCAGCTCCATCTCCTCATATCCCAGCTCCATCTCCTCATATCCCAGCTCCTTGTCCTCATATCCCAGCTCCATCTCCTCATATCCCAGCTCCATCTCCTCATATCCCAGCTCCATCTCCTCATATCCCAGCTCCATCTCCTCATATCCCAGCTCCATCTCCTCATATCCCAGCTCCATCTCCTCATATCCCAGCTCCATCTCCTCATATCCCAGCTCCCTGTCCTCATATCCCAGCTCCATCTCCTCATATCCCAGCTCCATCTCCTCATATCCCAGCTCCATCTCCTCATATCCCAGCTCCATCTCCTCATATCCCAGCTCCATCTCCTCATATCCCAGCTCCATCTCCTCATATCCCAGCTCCATCTCCTCATATCCCAGCTCCCTCTCCTCATATCCCAGCTCCATCTCCTCATATCCCAGCTCCCTCTCCTCATATCCCAGCTCCATCTCCTCATATCCCAGCTCCATCTCCTCATATCCCAGCTCCATCTCCTCATATCCCAGCTCCATCTCCTCATATCCCAGCTCCATCTCCTCATATCCCAGCTCCTTGTCCCCATATCCCAGCTCCATCTCCTCATATCCCAGCTCCATCTCCTCATATCCCAGCTCCTTCTCCTCATATCCCAGCTCCATCTCCACATATCCCAGCTCCTTCTCCTCATATCCCAGCTCCATCTCCTCATATCCCAGCTCCATCTCCTCATATCCCAGCTCCCTCTCCTCATAACCCAGCTCCCTCTCCTCAATCCCAGCTCCCTCTCCTCATATCCCAGCTCCCTCTCCTCATATCCCA